CGACCGTATGCTTGGCTGCCCCAACAAATGGCGTGGCAGGTAATTTGCCGGTACTGTACTCGAGTAGACTATTCCAGCGTTTTATGGAATGTGATTCCTCTCATTTTCTTATTCCGGCCTCTCACAATTCCCACATCGCACAAGGCTTTGGTCAGCAGCGTGTGTAGTGCTTGGCAATGTCTCAGGCTTTGCTGCGTCTCTGTGCAACCTGAATGGCGGAATAGTTTCGCCCACGCAAGACCCCCCATACCAGTATCGTCTGCCAAAGTCTCAGGCTTTGTCGGATTCAGGGAACCCCGGTTGCCGGTGTTCCCTTCTACGGTACCTGCACTGGGCCAGCGCTCGAGCACTTAGAGTAACCTCCGATATCGCTTCCTTTTCTCTCACGTCTAATTCACGCTCGCCATGGCCCAACTATCTGGTCCGTGTTTTAGTTTGAAAAGATGCTATGCTGTATCTGGGTTTTTGTTCGGCAAGTTACAAAAATGTGAGTTCTCTTCTTTTGGTTTGGGAATGTCTGGGTGACTTACGAATGATTCTGAGACGGCCTTCGTCTAGGCTTCGCCCCAGCTGTAGATGGACGTATGACGCCTCTACTCACCTCTGCTGTAGGACTATACTCCCGTCGACATCATGGGCCATTCTCTCCCCCCATCGCATTATCCCCCAGTAACACACCCACAAAACTTCAACCCCACCTGGACCCCTGGTGAAAATGCCGCCTTGGGGGTAGCCCTGGTTTTGCCTCCTTACCCCCGTTGCTTATCCGCCGCCCCATGGCCGCTCTTGCACCTGGTGGATGTTTCCTGATGCCCGGGCGCGAAACCCGTAAAACCACTTAATCTTGAAGATAGTATCAACACGCAGTAAATCACGTCATAAGCACTACACGCCCATACAGAAACCCCACCGGTGCTATGTGCTGTGGATTCAAGGTTAGTTATTTATTCTGGTCCACCAGCCCATATCGGAGGAGTGAATAAGCACAACTGGGAATCGGAAAAGCATAGCGGAATTGCATGAGTCATAGGTGGGTTCACTAGAAAATCCAACCCCCAAAGGCACTCTCTCAAGTGACTCAGTATCTGATGTGTCCTCATAAATCCCACCGTTCCGTGAGTTAGTTTTCGGGAAACTGTTGAGCAGCGTGAATCCTTGGTGAAAGGAGGGGAGAGTACAAAGACAGAATGCTGGGGTGGACACGCCAAGTTCAATACCCTTTTACATTCTTGGCGATCATCGCTGAATGCGAGGTAACAAGATATTGTTATTTGTTTGGACACTCCCGTCAATGCACTCCCTAACCAGTGTTACCGGTGGTCCATGAGAATTCCCTATGGATGGCGATTCCAGATATGCAGCTAAGCCTACTGATCTCGAAGAGGGGAATTTCTATGAGTGCTTTACCGCAGCCCATCTGTAGGAAGGGACATCTATGGGAGCTTGACCAATGCCACTTTTGTTCAGGGATCGACCCCACACTAGAATGAACACATGTGTGGCACTCGTTGCCACTTTGGTGCACAGATGCTAATGCTCTTCACTGTCACGCCTCAGTTGCACAAGGCTGCACTACCTGTTCTGTCGTGACGTTTGTAAAACGGACTGGGCTTGAATGGCGGCGCACAGGGGTGTGTTATGGCCATGTTTAATCTGAATAGGTATAGTGCAAGCCCAGTCCATTTTACAAACGTCTCGACAGGACAGGTACTCGGCAGTGTCTCAGGCTTTCTACATGGCGGCGCCACCTAAACCTGCTGTCCGAATATGGTTAGTCAGTGACACTACCCGCATGAGAGGTATCGGGCTTTCGAGCAACCGTCGTACGGTAACACTCTTCCAATTTGGGCAAATGCAATTACCAGGAGCCAGAGAAGACAAATAGTTCTGTTCCCCCCCCTCCCGTTTGCTAAGGGTTTGGTCCTCGCTTGGTGCCTTTCTAAGTACCGGTATTTACTTCACGGTATCCACACTGCACCCCAAAATGAACCACGCGTGGGTTTCCTTTTTTTTTTTGCTGATTTTGGAACAGAGTATATAATTCCACTCTCCCCCCCATTGGTCTCCACACTTTCACACTAGACCTGGTTTCCCACAACTGCGATGGGAGACTACAACCACTGCCTCAAGGACTTGCAGATCTCCCCCTTTACCCAGAAGGCAAAGGATTTTACTCTGTCAATGGCCCTTTAGACTTGAGCACTCCGTCTTCGGATACCGGAGTCCCTCTCGTGAACCAGGAGAGCCACACTATCATACACCCTGTAACTAACCGGATCCAAACCCCTGCCGGCCAACACCCATGCTCCTCTCGCCAACGCACTTTCAGTTTCATTACCAGGTTGGTTACTTCTTTCTCCCATTCTCACCTCACTATTCTACTCCCGCATGTCGCATGTACCTCTGACCGTCTAATAGTGACCTGCGAGCACGTCCCGAGAGGAAGAATTACTCTTGCAATGAGCCCGGTTGTGACTGGCCATCGCCGTTCCCGACGCGGCAGGCCTTAACCCGCCACCGCGAGGCGATGCATCTGGATATACGTGTGGACTGTCCCATTCTTGGATGTGAAAAGGTTGGGGATAAGGGGATTAAGAGAAAGGATAATCTTCAGGCTCATGTGTGGAACAAGCATCAGATCAGGCTTCCTAGGAAACCCCGCAGGGAGCAGGCCATGGACATCACAGCTGTGGGATGCGGTTCGGTTCGGAAGTCGGATTCCAAATCCTGTTAGTTTTAGAGTAGCTTTCGTTAGGTTGATGGTCTGATATGGGTATATCCGCGAACCTTGTTCGGGGGCCTGGGATGTTTTTTCTGTCTTTTTCTGTCTTTGCTTGTTTTCATCTCCTATTTTGCGAGATTCATGATTATTCTTTGGTTCGGTGCTGCTTTCTGGCTCATTTTTGATACGCAGTTGGCTGCCAGTTCTTTGGATTGCGTTTGGAAGGAAATGAAAATAAATACTCGTATATCGTCTTTCATCCTCGCTTAGAAATTGAAAAATTACTTGCCCTCAGATCCAGGGGCGTCGCTCATCATAGATATCCGTGAGAACAAATGCTAGTCCACCAAAACGCCAATTAGAACTTACAAATCAAAGAAGAAAAAACTCTGCTTACACAACAGGATTGACGAATCCTACTTACCGCAAGACATCGGTGTCCAATGTGCCACCCCCCCCCTTCCTACGCTTTCTCGATTTCCACCACTAAATAAAGGAAGCACCTCCTTCACGCTCTAATCCATCTTGCCTGTCGCAATGGAAATAATTGGGGTAGAGAGAGTGCAACCGTGATTTAGTAGTAGTGAGGAAATGGTCCAGATATAATATTTATGAACGTAGTGTAGAAAATGAAACCTGGGCTCCACTGAGATACTGACTTAAACTACTAGAGTGCCCTCACCCAGAGAAACAGGGATGGCGGGAGCCGCCGCGACATCCACCGCTCCACACTAGAGCCCCAATTGGGGAGAAGGGGTAAGAGAGAGACCAAAGCAGTTAAGAGTTGGAGGGGATCCCCGAACTGGGGATGGAGGCTGTTTAGTAACCAAAAAGAGCCCAATGCACACCAAAATACAGTTTTTCCTTATGGTATTTACATTGCCCGAACTTGATTGATATCTAAGGATTTTGCTTCGGAATATTTTTTTCCAAAAAAACAACAAAAATCAACATCTCCATGTTCGGAATATAATACCATAGCATCGCGTTTTCTCCCATCAACACCTGATGCCCAACCGTGTCTGCTAACACAAGCGAGTAAAGACCCTGCAATGTATCTCTCCACTACAACAACCCCGCCTTGACAGGCAGGTAGTGTACTCGAGTGCTGATAAAGCTACGTGGATCCCGGTAGTGGAAAAATAAAGAGGGGATGTTGGAGGAGCCGTGCGGGGCATAACGAGAAGTTCTTGCACCACAGGTATTCATTACACGGTGCATGTGTCCTGTAGGTTCGCCTCCCGACTGTCGTCGGCAAAGGATAATGGGGAATACGTGACGTGAAGCCGAAAGAAAAGGGGTCTTAAAAACGTTGAGCAACGGAAACTATGATTTCCTACTGTTCACCGTTTCCGATCAGCCCGTCCTTTCAAATGACCGTAGCTTTTTTCCACTAACAGTCCCCCTTACCCAAAAATCCCTCGTTTCATCACGGCCTTTCCTCACTTCTCTCTGGTTTCTCCCTCGGAATTCAAGATTGTTGAAATTGAAAAGCCGAGCACTAAACAAACTGGGTACCAAAAACTAAAACCCTTCTCGGCCAGCCTTACTAGGGCTGGCACAATCCTAGGTACGTAATGTAAACGATGATACATGAATAGGGGTGCGGCTTCTTCGTAGTAGCTTCCCCAGCACATTCCTAGTCGCCGCTGACGTAGCTGTGTATATTTGCCAAGCCAATTCCACGCGAGAACTCATGCCTCCAGAGCAGAACGAGTACCCAATCACCCCGGTAGCCGTTATTGCTCAAACAGGCCAGCTAAGGCAGAGGTCCTCTCTCCTTGGTAGATACTTGAGCCCTCCAATAGCTTACTAGTATGCATAAAAATGCACATCCCGCATCTCACTGGCCAGTCAGGCATTGTCGCACAAGCCTCCACTATCGTGTCCAGAAATGTCTCAGGCTCTTCTGCATATTGCTGCCACCTGGGCTGTCCCCTCGAATATGATTTGTCGGTGGGATTGCATGGTTGGGATGTCTCAGGCTTTTGAGCAGATTGATAGCATCATCCCAATTTGGACAAGTGCAATCGCCTGGAGAGAGAGAAGTCAAATAGTCCGGTCCCCCCCTTCTGGTTTGCGAGGGTTTTGCTCGTCGCTGGTTGTCTTTGTGAGCTGCAATTTCGGATTACATGATTATAGTACGGAAGCTTACACAGCACACCAAAAATGAACCCCACGTAGGTTTTTTTTTTCTCTTTTTCGCTAACTAGGCAGATATGAGTATACTCGAGTAACGTCGGATCTATCTCGCAACAAGTTTCAGTTAGTGTCATTTAACCTCTTCGGGACGCCACAATCGCTACCCCGGAAACTTGGCGATCTTCCGCTCTATCCTGATGACAACGGGTTTCACTCCGTAAACGGTCCTTTGGACCTCACCATCATATCTCCCCACACCACTGCCCCGCCAGTGAACAATGGGAATCCTGTGGCACTTCACTCTTCAACCAACGAAACCCAGCACTATGCTCACCAGTATCCATACATCTCTTCTCATGATCGTCAACCCTCCAACAGCCTTATTGCCAGGTCAGTTACTCCCCTCTCATATTCCTACCACACACTCTGCTCCCGTATTGTCCTCACTAATCACCCGATAGCGACCCAGTAATTCGCCCGGAGCGGAGAAGTTACTTTTGTAGCGAGCCTAGTTGCGCTCGGCCGTCTCCATTCCCCACGCGACAATCTTTGACCCGCCACCGTGAGGCGATGCATCTCAATATACGCCTAGACTGTCCGATTCCTGGATGCGACAGAGTCGGGGACAACGGGATCAAGAGAAAGGATAACCTCCCGGCTCATGTGTGGAACAAGCATCGGATCAGGCTTTCTCGGGAACCCCGCGAGAACTAGGCCGTGGGTATTGAAGCCAGAGGATATGATTCAGTTCGGAAGCCCGACACTTGACCTGGCTGATTTTTCCGCGGTTTCTGATCGGGTTGACGGATTGGAACGGGAGGTCTTGGGAGGGTCAATTTGCGGTAGTGATGGGACGTGATTTAGGTCTTTTAACGTCTTTGCTGATTCTTTTACCCTGTTTTACGACTTATGACCTTTCTTTGGCTGAATGTTAATCGTTTACTTACCCATGTGGACATAACTGTTCTTGGGATTGTTTTTGGAAAAAAAGAAAAACGGGAGGAAAAAAAGAATCGGGTTTGTTCATTTGCAGTTCGAAATTAAATGTTCACCTCTACTCTTTTGTTCTAGAGACGTCGTTTGTCTTGCGGATGTCGACGCAAGCAAATGTTAGCCAACCGATGTTGAAGAACACACCCTTTAAATCAAAAATAATGGTCCTGCACCACGGCGTGGATCTAGACTGCAAACCATATGGCTTGCCTCCGAAAATTATATTCCCTTCCTCCACCGCTAAATCAGCAAATCCCCTTCCCTTATTTGTCTCCTAATCTATATTTCCGGGTGCCTCGAACTCGCTATCGCCTATGAAGTCGCACTGGCGGGTAAATTGGTGGTGATGTTAGAAGTGTGACCGGTAGGCACAGCAGCTGCCGGAGCGCAATCGGGTACGCTCTCCGGGTGAATAGTAGGTATTGACTGCGGCATCGGCCATGGAAGGTTACTACTTATCAAGCTCATGACCTCCTTTACGTCGCAGGGGGAGCGGTTACCGAATAGGAATGGTGCACGGCAAATTGAACTTGACGCATCAAGTGAGATTCCTATTCCATGAGTCGGTAACACTCCCGAGAATTTCACCCCTGCTCGGGAGGCTGGACTCAGATATACGGTGTACTCTCTAACCCCTGAACTCTGTTGAAAATCTCCAGTACTTATAAGAATATTTAGGAAATCTTTGGCACTAAGCCTTCAATTTTCTGCCCCAACCAATATCTCTTTTCCGCTTTGTTTATGCTCCAAACATTCTGGAGACGGTGGTTGGTAGGGGGTTGTGACTAGGCGTTGGTCAGAAGTTCTCTACCTTTCTCGGCTCCGAGGTTTGACAAAGCTAAACAAAGGAGCTTGATCAACACGGGGCTCCGTCATTCTGGGTCTCCCTGTTTAAGGAAGCAACCGGGTGAGCGGTAACCGGGAGAAAATTTGTATTTATCATATGTTGAGAGCTAGGCTTTTCTATATAAACCGCCACCGTGCCGTAGATAGCAAGGAATATATGATACCGGAACAACACAGAACATACCCCGCTCCATTTCATTCCCTTCTGCAGTTCTCACCTCGCTCCTATCGGCAACTCATAACAATAAAATCCAGATCGTATTTGGGTGAATATCTATGTCGCGTGCAACGGCTTCCCTGGGGATGTCCCGGGCTTTAGTGAAAATTGACAGGACCATCAGAGTCCGTACAGGTGCAATTACCTAGAAGGGGAGAAGTCAAATAATCCGTTGTTCTCCTTTCCACTCTGCGGAGGGTTCGGTCATCGCTCGTGCCTTTATGTGCTTTTACTACCGGTTACATAATTACAGTGTTCGAGCGCAGTGGGGCCCACACACCACAGCGGGGGTGGTCGACGCGGTGCTTTTCCTCCTTCGCCCTCGGCTAACCACCTCACGATAGTGTATGATTACTCTCGCAGGGAACATGCGCCCGACCTCGTGTCATTCAACGAATCTAGAACACCACAACCGCTGCCTCAGGAACTCAGCGATCTCCAGCTTCTCCCTAATGACACAGCCCCCGACTCTCTCAACAGTCCTTTAGACCCCGCCATCCTGGGTCCCAACTCCACTGCCCCTCCCATAAGCCATGGAAATCGCATTACGCTCCACCGTTCAACGAACCGAACCCAACCCCTTTCTAGCCTCTCTCCTCGCCATTGACGGCTCTCAAACAGCCCTGCTGGCAGATCTGCGACCCCCCCGCTCCCAGATGCCCCTCGCTAACCATCCGATAGTGATCCACAGGCTCTCTCAGAGAGGAGTAGTCACTCATGCAATGAGCCTAGTTGTGCCTGACCATTGCCGTTCCCGACGCCGTAGGTATTGACCCGTCACTGCGCGGCGACACATCTCAACATACGCGTAGATTTTCTCATTCCTCGATGCGAAAAGGTCGGGGATAAGGGGGTCAGGGAACGGGTGATCTTCTGGCTCATGTGTGAGACAAAAACCACACCATGCTACCCAGGAAACACCATAAGGAATAGGCGGCAGATATCGTAGCCGTGGGATATGACCCTGCCCGGAAGTCCAGAACCGGATCCTACTAGCTTTGCCATGGCTTCCATTAGGTTGACGGATTGAGATGGGTATTTCTAGGAGGTCTGTCGGTTCGGGGTGATGATGACACTAATGCCTTTTCCTGTCATTTTCCTATTTTCTCATCCTTTTTTACGGGATTTACAATTTTCCTTTGGTCAAGGTTAGCTCTTTTTGGCTCCCATGCTAGTATGCTACTAGCTACCGGTTCTTTGAAATATGTTTGGGGGAAGTATAAAAAAGGAAAAAAGTTAAGCTAAAGTACCTCCCCAAAAGTGTTGGTGAAATGACCTTTTTACACCAAAAATTGGCAGGTTTGATCAACCCCCACACCTGGAATTGCTTCAAATAATCCTTGCAACCCATATAATTATTTTCACCTTCACTACAGCTTTTACCTAACACCATTTATTTTGTCAATTTATTCTATGGGGCTAAACTACAAGTCTCCAAAGTTGACAATACCCGTTGCTATGCCATTTTTGTATGTAAAATGAA